TAAAAGGGTGCCAGTACTTTTATTATTTGTGTGATGCCTGACAAACAGTGCTACTCAGCAGATTTTTATTCAGAGAAAATTGGAACACGTATTTATGAATTTAGAGGAGACATTTAAGGTCAATTTTTTTTTTTTACAGAATAGGTTTAACGTATTATGTGAAATGCGGAGATTTGAACATGTGTTTTTTCTCATACACATTCATTAACTGCAGTGTAGAAAAAAAATGTCCTGTGATTGTCACACATAACTCTCTAAGGCTGCACATAATTAGGTGTGATCCATTGTCTAGAAGAAGTTGGGATTAATGAATTCTGCATTCTCCTAATTTACATGCTGACTCTGGTGTCTTGAATGTCATGAGTTGAAATCAATGGAAGAAATAATGTTTGTTTTAAAGTGGACCTAGCCAAATGGTTTTCAAGCTACTCAGCCTTATCACTTAGCTCAGAGAAGCAAGAAAAAAGACTGGAAAGGAACAAATCAACTGTGAGCTCATCGGTGAAAGTCCACACATTTGGCTCAGTGTGTCATGTGAACCAGGCCACTGTGTTGAAAATCGCAGTCTTATTATAGATCAAGTCACTATTTCAGTGTTACCTAATCTAAGGATATCTGGGATTTCTGGAAAGCATCTTTAACAATGAAAGCTACTAATATAATAAACTAAATAATAATAATGATAATAATGATAATAATGATGATGATAATAATAATAATAATAATAATAATAATAATAATACAATTTTATTTATATCCCACCCTCCCCAGCCGAAGCTGAAGCCGGGCTCAGAGCGGCTAACAACAATAAAAGTAACACAGCTTGATGCTGTGTTGATGTTAGTCTTTGTTAGTAGAGAAATCTGAAAGGGAAATGAGTAACACATTCTGTGAATCAACTTCCAACAAGGCCCTCCTGCTTTCTAAGATGCTATTGCTTCATCCTTCATTTTAGCAAATCCAGCAGTCCTTCAAGTGTTCATAGCAGAGTTGGTATGGTCATCATAAGTCAATGGCAATGACAGAATATTTTTATGTAGATGTGTAGGAGCCAACTCCTAGGGGCTAAAAGGTCTTCATCCCCTCCAATAAAATATTTGAGGAGGTTGGGCCCCCCTAAAGTTGATGGGCATTGCCATTCAAATGGGGTGTGGGTGTGGGTGGGTGTGTACCGTGTCATGTGATTTATTATGTGGGCGGGCTTACCTGCCCACCCTATTTTATTCAGGTTTGCATCCCTGTGAAGATGTAATCGTAGAGCATTACAGTAGCCAAATTATTATAGCAAACTTAACTAAAGATGCTAGACAACATGTCAATTTAGCAACTATGAAGAAATGCTTCAACTTTAATATAGAACTCTCATAAATTTGTACCTGAAAGTGAGATAAGTAAGAAATCATATAAAATCCTAATCCCATTCAGTCTTGCTGGCCTATAAAATATTCCTGTTTCTTCCTTAAACTTATTGCATTATTGTATCAGAAGGTCTTGTAAGGGAAAGTGGGATGCAGAATTTGCCTTCTTCACTGAGTTCCTGCACATGTAATGTAATTCGAAATAACCCTGTAGAATTGCTTAGCTTTCCAATAGAGAACTTTTAGGCTCCAGTTAGTTAGTAATTTGGTGATGCTGCTGTTTTTGAAAAGGGATTTAAATGAACTGTGTAACTGGAGCTTTCAGGGATGCTTTTATCAGATGTATTAAGTTTCTTGAATCATTTTTTTTCTTATTTACTTAGCAATCTGTCTTGCACAGACAGATTAATTCTTGCCATAGTTCAACGTAATTGCCTGGTAATCTTCTTTGGATTTATGCCAAACTATGCATCCATCCATCCATCCATCCATCTAGCTAACCTACCTAATGGTGAACATTCCCTGAATAATAGTTCCCTGAATAATACTGGCTGCTTGGATGTTGCTCTTTGGTTTTTGATCCAAAACTGGGATAAAGCCACACTAGCCTGGAGCCAATGTCTTATTGAGAAGACCAAGCAATCAGAAGGAGGCATCCTTAATGAGTCACCACCACCTTCTCAACTGTGTCTCTGGATTCAACATGGTGACCCACCCATCCTAATATACATCCATGGTAAACTAGTTAGTTTCCTGCTTGAGGACCGAGCAGGATATTTGGGGATGAGGTTCACAAGTGGCCTAAGAGGACACCTTTTCCACCAACCTCTCAGTGTTAAAGCAAGCAGGGATGTGGTGCTGGTTGATTTAGCTAACTGGATGCATGAATGAGCATGGTTACGTTGCTCATAACTGATGGGTGGTACAAGAAGTCAGGGATGTTAATATCTGCTTCCCAGTGAACACCCTAAGGCAGCTTGAGGAAGAAGGGTCACCTACCCAACCTTCTTCTCTTTGCTGACTGCCACAGAAAGGATTATGTGGCATGTGTCTTTGCATGAGTACATGGTTCCTTTCCCTGCCACAGTGATGAGGACAGGAAGGGGAGCCATATAGGAGCACTGTATCACATGCCACTTGTGCCTGTGCTTTCAGATGATGATAGAAATCCTTCACAACCTGGTTATCTGTGTATGAAGTACTTATTGCTAAGAACAGGTTTACAGCATAAAATATTAACTGTAGGCAAGAACTAAGTTAGGAATAGCGAACATAGACTATTTAAATCAATTTTGCCATTTATTTTGATTCATATCCTAACATATAATTGATGCTCCTAAGCTTGACAGAAATTTAATCGCAGTGTCACTAATGAAATGTTGACATTATCAGCAGCTCTCCCTGTAACGTATCTTTTATTACTGTGTTAATAGAGTGTACGCCATTCAAATTATAGAGATGGAAGAGAACCAAGGGTCATTTAGCTCACACTTCTAAACTGGCAAGATATCCTATGCACAAACCTTTCCTGATAGATTCTCCATCCAAATCTGTTCAAAAGGTAATTATATAACTTCACTGGGAGACCTGTTTCGTTGCTCAGCCATTCATACAATTAGGAAGTCATCATTCCCCCCGCCCCGATAGCCAGTCTACATCTGCTGTACTTCAGTTTGAATCTATCGATTGTGGGCACCAGTGCCTTGGAAGATAATCAGTCATTCTTCTCATTTTTCCACCGCAACAGTTTTGTCGTCAAATTTCCCTTAAGCCTTTTCTCCATGCAGAGAAAGCCTCATTGTTTAATTAGCTATGATTCATGTAAACTTTTATTTAGGGACAAGGGGATTTCTCCCATTTCATTTCTTTACTGCTCATCTGGTTTGCTCTGGGGTTTCTCTGTGATTGCAATGTTTCCAAACTGAGCAAATGAACAGTAAAATGGCAAATGAATGTAAATGTATGCAAGTGTAAAGTAATGCATTTCCCGGGAAAAACCCCCTCTAAATTCATATATACGCCTATGGGATCTGAACTGGTGGTGATTGACCAGAAACAATACTTTAGGTTTAATGAAGATGTTCAACCAGTTTGCAACAGCTATGAAAAAGGTGGATTCCACATTATGGATCATTAAGAAAGAGATCAAAAATAAAACTGTCAATATCATAATGGATACAGATATATGGTGTGAACACACTAGAAATAGTGTTGGGTTGAAATGAGCGACAGACGAATGGCAAGGTGTCATACGGGAGGCATCTCTCGAGCAAGTCTCGGAGAGTCCCTTTTATTGGATATTACAGCATTACCACATATGTGCTTGTTGCTGATTGGTTAACATGAATACAATGCAAAGGTTGAATATAGGTATCAATCATCAATACATTAAAGGTTGGGAAAGGGAACACAGAATTGGACAGGCGTAAAACCTCCTTATTAAACTATTAACTAATGATTGACTATCAAGACTTAAACTATTGCTAATGATTGATATAGCATGACATGAAAGAACATAACAATCGCGTTCCGTAGATGTGGTCAACAATGCGTTAAGAACAGGTCAGGGTATGATGTTTCATGAACTCAGTGTGAACTGTTCAGAACATTCTCAGACTCATGTGCAGAGGCAAAAACTTCCCAGCATCTCCCCCTTTCTTTTCTTATTTGCGAGGTGTTACTGTATGATTTCTGGGTGAATAAGACAAAAATACTTCGGGATACATGGTATGCCAGCGCATGCCCGAAATAAGTTCGCCAGGGTGGACGAGACAAAAATACTTCGGGATACGTGGTATGCCAGCGCATGCCTGAAATAAGTCTGCCCACATCTCCCCTATCATTTACAGTTGATGCTGCCATTTCACATAGTAGGCGGCAATGATTTTATTAGGTGGCAGAGGAGGAGAAAAAAAACTGAGACCAAAGACGCATGAGACCAGGAATGCATTGGATGAAGCAGCATAGCGAAATTAGTATACATATTATGACAATAGCATATTGGAAGAGATTATGAAGCCAATTCAGGTTTGGCAACCAGCCAGTGAGCCACTGGGTGAACGAATCCCAGAGGCCAGAAAAAACAATGTCCTGTTTAATGTGATGTGTAAGATTTTGCAAATGAGAAATTTGCTTTTGAACGGCTTTGGAATTATCAGTAATATTGAAGCAACACATGTCAGCCACTTGTTCACAGCCATAGTGATGAAGCATGAGCAAATAGTCGATAGCGCGACTTTGTAAAAGTCCATTATGTAGTTCACTCTGTTCTTTATTCAGAAGGTGAAGAGCTTGTGAAGTAAAGTTCAGGGCTTTTGCTGCAGAGCAAGCTAAAGAGTTAATGTTCCTACTATTGCGTACAGCCAATCCAGGGACTCCTAAGAGAGAAACAGCTAAAGAGATATATTCAGACCTACTGGGAAGAGAAATAGAATCATCACAATCATTAGTCAATTCAACAGAGCGGCGATATTGAGAGCGGGATAAATGATGCTTTTTGGGTAAAATGATGGACAAACGGCTTAAACAGCAGGGTGTGCCATGGCTGATGGTTGGCACATGGTAGGGGAATTCAGCATTCCTTGCGGTAGGACTTTCCATTGATACCGTTCCGTGGGCTGGCTGTTATTTAACACAGGAACAGTGAAAGCAAAGAATTTACGATCCTTCTCCTGTAGGGGGATGGAGAAGAAACAATCTTGCAAATCCTTGATAGCCAATTGATAAGAATGGGGGATCACATTCGGATTAGGCAGACCACACTGCAAAGGCCCCATGGGTTCAAGGATTTCATTAATTTTCCTTAAATCCTGGAGAAATCTCCATTTCCCACTTTTCTTTTTTATGACGAAGATGGGAGTGTTATAGGGGCTAACTGAGGACTCGATATGGTCTGCCGATAATTGTTGATTCACCAATTCTTTTAAAGCAAGTAGCTTTTCCCCCGTTATGGGCCATTGTTCCGCCCATACCGGGGTGGTTGACTTCCAGTTGAGGGGGAGTGCAAGCTTACTCATTAAATTGAATGGTAGCTTGTAATTGTTGTAGTAAGTCTCTGCCCCACAGATTAAGGTGGATTTTTAGCACGCAAGGCTGGATGTATGCAATGGTTTCAGAGCTATCAGGCAGAGAAACAGGCAACCACTTTACGCTTTTGGTTGAGGTTTGAGGTCCACCCCCACCCCAAACCGCAGAGGCAGACTCAAGGGGCCACGTGGGGTCCCAGCAACTACTGGATATGACAGAAATGTCTGCGCCCGTGTCAATCAAGCCTTCTAGAACCTTGCCATTTATTTTATACTTACGAAGAAGTTTCTGATGACCAATCCTCTGAATTACAGCTAACAGCTGTGGAGAAAGGGGAAGGGGAGAGAGCTGGTGCAAATTACTATCCACAATAGAAGCAGAAGGATGAGAAGGGAGCACCACCAAATGCGCCCAAGAATCACCCTTTTTTAACTGCATGGGCATATGGCTCCAGAGTTGAACCATGATTGTGCCCACATAGTCAGGATCAAGGACTCCCGGAATAACCAGGATTCCTTCCTTGGCCGCAGAGATTTAGGTAAATTAAGCACAACGTAGATGTGGTCAACAATGCGTTAAGAACAGGTCAGGGTATGATGTTTCATGAACTCAATGTGAACTGTTCAGAACATTCTCAGACTCATATGCAGAGGCAAAAACTTCCCAGCAGAATAGTGTGTATAGTTCTGGTTGCCTCACCTCAAAAAGGATGTCATATAGCTTGGAAAGTTCAGAGAAAAGGCAACCAAAATGATCAAGGAAATTGAACAACTATCCTATGAAGACAGGTTATACTATTTGGGGCTGTTTTTAGTTTGAAGGGGGAAGATGAGTAAGGGATGTTACATGTTAGAGATTTATAAAATTATGCAGGGTGAGGAGAAAGTAGATGTTAAGTCTCCCTTCCAGTTCTAGAACCCAGGACCATCCAATGAAGCTAAATGTTGGAATATTCAGGACTGTAGGAGCCAACTCCTAGGGGCTGAGGTCTCATTGCCCTCCACAAAGCTGATGGCTATTGCCATTTAAATAGTGTGTGTGTGTGTGTGTGTGTGTGCGCGCGCGCACCAAGTTTTGTGACTGATTATGCAGGGCAGGGCTTACCTGCTCCCCAATATTTTATTCAAGATAACACCAATGTTAATAACAAAGAAAATACATCTTCACACAGCACCTAGTTAAAATATGGAATCTGCTCCCAAAAGAGGTAGAGATGGTCTCCAGTGTCAGAGGCAATATGCATCTGAATATCAGTTGATGGGGATCACGTGTAGGGAGAGGGCAGTTGTGGGCTCAGCACCAGCCTGTTCTAATTATGGGCTTCCCATAGTATGGATGGCCACTGTGAGAACAGGATGTTGGACTAGATGGGCCTTTGGCCTGATTCAGATAGGTTCTGAGAGAGAGAGAGAGAGAGAGAGAGAGAGAGAGAGAGAGAGAGAAAGAAAGAAAGAAAGAAAGAAAGAAAGAAAGAAAGAAAGAAAGAAAAGCTTTTAAAAACAAGGAGACCAAATGTCTGTGTGCACAAAAATGGTAAGCCCACCCCCTCCAAATTTATTCTGTGCAGTGCAGATTTCAACAGTATTCCTCATCTCATTTATATCCATAATTCACACCACATGTGAATGGGGTAGCAAACTGAGAGCCAACATTTTGTCCCACCTTGGTTCATATAAGGAAGTGACCTGTGACAAAAATTCCTCTCATGCACAACACAATCCTTCCCTTTGACTAAAGTCAATGTCAGGACAATGAATTGTGACAGTGACTTTCAGATATGATGGGTCAGTACAGATTTATGGTTTCAATGTTTGTTTTCTTCCTTCCAAATTAGGAAGGAACAGTGAATTTTATCACCACCCTGCCACAATGTATAGATTTTAAGCACTGATATTGTTATGAATAGTCACAGTAATATATACAAAACCAGAAGAAGCAAATAAGCTGACGTTTGTAATAAAAACCTAAGGCAGAATAGCTTTAAATGTAAAATGTAAAAATAGAACATATTTTGTTTTAAGTGAAATTGACTGTGACAAACCCAAAGTGTGCTGTTTTCAAGCACTTTATTCACATGCCATTAAGTCCATTAAGTCGCTATTATCTCGATTTGGTATTGTGAATGGCTTCTCAAATCCTTGCTGAATCCCCTTTGAAATCATTAATCCAAACATTGCTTTTATGCTTCCTTTGCTAGTTAGGTGCACTTTGTAGCTGTCTTTAAAATGTGTAAAAGTAACTATAATTAATGAAATAACAAATTAAAAACAGACACTCCCCCATCAAAAAAAGGAGGAACCAGAAAAAATGAACTTGACATTTACAGAAGTATACGCACATTTAAAGTGATGCAATTCCTGGGAAATCATTTATAATGTGCAGTTCACAAAGTCATAGTGTCACAATTGTAAAGGGCTCAGAGCAACATGAAGTTCATCTAGCACTATCCTTGGCAGAATAACAATACCTTACAGAAGCAAACAACCCTAGAAGATTAGCCCACACAATAGCACAGTAAAGCCTATCATAAAAAGAATTGGCATCACTTCAAAAATTGCAGAGTACAGCCCCCTAAATACAGATATACTGTTACCTTCAGTGGAATTCTGGTAATCTGAGGATGAAAATATACAGCCAGTTATAGATGAGGAGGGGAGAGCAGACCCCACAATATAGCAACTCTCACCTATCTTCCCCACCAACATGCTGAACAAATCCCATCTGTTTACTAATGTTGATTAATGATGAAAAATATTGATCATTTGAATATTGTTGTTTGCACTGGTGAGCTATGATCCCAGAGAGAACATTCAGTCATTTTATCACACACACCCCACCTAATCTGTGGTGACAAAAATCAGACTGTATTAAGGGTGGGGAACCATGAAAGCAAAGTGTAAAAATGGCTTTTCATGCTTTCCTTTCATATCTCCAGAACATTGTGGTTTTCACTCACAGCCTCCCAGTTGTGTGACAGAACAGCAGATTTTTCTGACATGACACCCCTATTATTATTTCAAATGTCTTCTGAAAACTGTACTGTTTTGACAGGGCATCACATAGTTATTATTATTATTTAAACTAACCAATATATATATTTTAATTTTTATTTTTATTTTTTAATACAATTTTATGTGCATTTCTCCTAATATACTGGTATTCACACATTTCCCAACATTATTTTCACGATTTTGTGTTAGTTTCTGTTTTGCCACTGAGCAGCTGCTTAGAGTCACAAGGCTCTGTTTACATTCCAGAGACAGTGCAGGCTGTTGGAAGTCTCACGGGAATGGGAGACGGATGTCACGTTACTGGTTTCCTGTTTCCTTTGTTCCGTAGTTGTTCGGTTGCTCTCTGCTCTCACAGGTAGAGGATGTATTTTTCTTTGTCTGCGTAGTAAGAAATAAAGCATAGTGATGTAGCCATAAATCTCATCACTTCTGCTGCCTGGATTCTCTGCTGAATGGGGGAACGTGCCTCATCAAAGGCTCAAGGTTGTTAATTATTCATCGGAGGCGATTCTGGAGGACTCGGCTGGAAGATGAGCTTTTATCAGCTCGCCCGAGTGGAGATTCCGACATTTTGTGGGTCACTGTTGCTTACTGGGAGGGAGATGGGGAGGCCCAAGGTGTATAGCAAGCCTACCTAAGGAGACAGGATTGCTTTGCGTGAAGGTATGGCTAATCTTTGCCCAGAGTCTTCAGTCCTCAGTTCTCCCTTGCAAGGTGCCAATGGCTGAATACTCTTAATTCTCTTGTTCTGCATTAATGAGCAGGAACCTACTAGGTTGCTGAGAATATTGACCTTCAAACATCCCTGGAAGTTAGGTTACACCAAACAGGACCGTACAAATCAATTTATATCTTAGTATTAGAATTACAAATATACAACAGATTGGTTCATATGACCCCAGGAAGTCTCTCAAGAACTCCTAGGACAAGAATTTGTAATTTGTAGGAGTTTAACAGTGACATCATAGGCATGTGTACTCAGAAGTAACCCTTGTTGAGTTTACTGGGATTTAGTCCCAGGTAAATGAGCATAAAATATATTTTATTAAGGATTTTCTTGTTTTACAGAAGTGTAGTGCCTCGTATTTTTTTTTCCCCATGTAACATTTTTACAAATCCGTTTCATTTGTTGAGGCATTAGGGGGAGAAGAAAAAAAAAAGAAAAAGAAAGGGGGGTGGAGAGAGGGAAGATGGATGGGGGTGGGGTCGGGTGGCGGTGTTTCTATTATGTTTAATGTATGTAGAGTTTGGTGTCAGCGTTGCTTGTGTTGTTCACTTGTGTTCCTTTGGTGGTGAGAGAGGTTGGGGTTGGCCTAGGGTGTGATTGTTTGCTTGTGATTGGCTGTGGTGATCTTTGTTTTCGTGTGTGAGTGAGGTGGGTGGGTGTTTTGGATCAGGTTAGCCATATTGATTTGTATGCTGTTGGTGGATTATTGTCATTGTCCTGTTGGGCTGTGTATGTGATAAATGGGAGCCATACCGGGGTGAAGGCGTCTTCTTCTGTTTGTCCCCGTGTCAGTTTCAGTTTATTAGTTAATTTTTCTAGTAGGGCTGTTTCCCATACTATTTGGTACCATTGGTCCATGCTTACTCCTGACAGGTCTCTCCAGTGTCTGGTTATGGTGTTTCTGGCTGCTGAGAGCAGGTGGGTTATGAGTTCCTTGTGGTGTAAATGGGCATTGTTGTCTTGGAAGATGTTTAGTAGGGCCAATTCTGGGGTGATGTCTATTACTTGCTTAGTTATTTTACATATTTCTTGTATGGCTGTTGTCCAGAATAGTTGGATTTTGGGACACTCCCACCACATGTGGAGGTATGTGCCTGTGGAGGTGCACCCTCTCCAGCATTTTGGTGAGGTTCCTGGGTGTATTAGCGCTAGTTTCCTTGGTGTTAGGTACCACCTGTAGGTGAGTTTCAGTGTGAGTTCTTTTCTTTTCGTTGATATGGATTTAAAGGGGGTTTAGACCACATTCTGGTCGAGTGAGTGGGGTTAATCTCATAGACTATGTCATTCTCCCATTGTTTTTGATTGCGTCTAGGGGATTTACAGGATTTTGGAGTAGTATTTTGTATATTGCGGATACCGTCCCTTTACCGTTTCCCTTTGTTGTTAGGAGGAGGTTTTCGAAGGTTGTCAGGGGCCTAGTTGCTGTTGATTTTACTGTTGGGTTGTTTAAGAGGGCATGAAGTTGGTGTTGTGTTAACCAGGGCATTTGGGTGTCTTCTAGTTTGTCTTGTATTTCTTGTGTTGACAAGGGTTTGTTATTTTTATAAAAGTCTATTAGGCGATATAAGCCTTTGGTTCGCCAGGTTTTTATCTTGAGGTTTTGTGCTGCACGGTGGAATAATGGGTGGTACGCCAGAGGATTAGTGGGGATGGGGTTGGGGATAGTTTGCCTATTTGTGTTTTCCATGCTTTGAGCATGGTCTGTGTGTACCTGTTAAGTGTTGTGGGAATTTTCTTTAGTTTGTTTGGGAGGAGTGGGTATGTTGTGGTGCAGGTGTTTTCAATTGTGTCCCTCTCTAGGTGTACCCATTGTTTTGTCTCATCTTCTAGTATATATGGGATTATGTGGCGTATTTGGTTGGCATTGTAATATGCTTCTATGTTGGGGATTCCCCATCCTCCTTCGGAGGTGGGGAGGTGCAGGTATTTGGGGCTTATTCTTGGTTTTTATGTGAGAAGATGAAAGAGTGTAGTTTTCTCTGCCAACTGCGAAGTTGGGTTGAGGGATCCAGATTGGGAGGGTTTGGAATAGGTAGGTTAGTTTTGGGAGTGTGATCATTTTGATCATGGCTATTTTGTCTGAGAGAGTGAAGTTCATGTTATTCCATCTCTTTAGGTCTTTGTTAATTTGTCGCCACAGGGGCTTGTAGTTGTGGAGGTACAATTTATTGAGGTTTCTGGTTATTTGTACCCCTAGGTATCTGAACTTGGTGTGGCAAAGTTTTATTTTGGTGACCTTCGTGAGTTCTTTTTGGGTGTGAGGAGGGGTGTTGAAGCACATAGCTTCTGACTTTGTAAAATTTACCTGTAGGCCCGACACCATTGCAAATGTGTTGAGTTCTCTGATTAGGGAGGTTGCTGTGCTTATGGGGTCTGGTGTTGTGACCATTAGGTCATCTGCAAAGAGCCCTAATTTATAGGTTCTGCCTTTTATTTCAACTCCCTTGATGTCTGTGGCTGCTCGGATGCGGATTGCTAGGGGTTCCAGAGCCAGGATAAATAAGAAGGGAGACAGTGGGCATCCTTGTTTCGTGCCTCTTTGGATAGCTATAGTGTTAGAATCCATATTGTTAGTTCTGCATTTTGCTGAGGCTTGGGAGTATATTTGTTTGAGGATTTGTAGGAAGTTGGGGCCAAATTTCATGTTAGTTAGTACTGCTAATATGTATTTCCACTCCAAGCAATCAAAGGCTTTGAGGATGTCTAGGGACATAATTGTCAATGGGAGTTTGGTTGCCTTGCTGTGTTCGATCAGGTTCAGTAGTTTCCTGATGGGGTCTGTTATATTGCGGCCAGGGACAAAGCCAGTCTGGTCTGGGGCTATTAACTTGTGTAGGAAGATTTTTAGGCGGTTGGCCAAGATTGATGTGAATATCTTGTAGTCTTGGTTTATTAATGAGATTGGGCGGTATGATTCTACTTTGAGGCTGTCTTTTAGTGGTTTTGGGATGGAGACTATTTTGGAGTGGGTCCAGGTTTTGGGGATGGGGCCCCCTTTTATGATGTCGTTGAATAGGCGGGTCATGTAGGGCATCAAGGGTTCTTTGAATTTCTTATAGAATTCTGCTGTGAAGCCGTCTGGGCCTGGGGCTTTGTGTGGTTTCAGGTTTTTGAGGACCGCATCTATTTCCTCTGGGGTGATAGGGCTGTCCATGAATTCCTGTTCCTCATTAGTTAGGGTAGGCATGGTCAGTCCTGCTAGAAATGTTCTGATTTCCTTCTCTGGTGGGTTATGGGAGGTGTATAGGTTGGAGTAGAATTCTGCAAATTCTGAGGTTATTTCTTTGGGGGAGAATGTTATGTTGCCGTCTTTTTTGGTGATGCAGTGTATTCTTGTTTTGAGTGCTTTTTTCCTACATCTATTTGCTAGTAATCTGGAGTTTTCCCTCCATATTCGTAGAAACGTTGTTTAGAGTATAGAATGTTGATCATTGTTTTGTTAATTTCTAGGGAGTCTAGTTCTCTCCTTTTTTGTTCTATAAGTTTGAGGAGTTTGTTTGTAGCGTGATGAGAGGGCTGTGATGTCTTGTTCTATTTTGCTAATTTTTGAGGAGGTTTGTTTTTAAGGAATGTTTTCTCTTTTATGCAAGCTCCTCTGGTGACCGCTTTCATTGCGTCCCATAGGAGGGGTTGTTATATTGTTTACATCGTTTTCTTTGAAGTAATTTTGGAGGGTTTTTGTGAGACTCTCTCTAATTTGTTTGTTTGTAGTTAGGATGGGACTGAAGGACCATGATGGGGTGGTTTGTGTTCCTTCTCCTATTTTAACAATGACTTCTACTGGGGCGTGGTCTGTGATTTTAATGTTACCTATGTTTGTTGATTCTACTGAGGGGATCAGACCCTGTGTGAGTAGAATGCTGTCCAGTCTGGACACTGTATCATGGCGTCCCGATTGGAATGTATGGCTGATGTCTCCCGGGTTCTGCTCACCCCAAATGTCGTAGAGACCCCTGTTTTTAGCATTTTTAGAAACTTGTAAGAGTTCCGGGTTGTTGGGGGTTCCTTCGGAGGAAGGTTGCCCATGGGGTTGTGGGGTGGATATCTTTCAGCGATATACCTTTCATATTTAGATTGAGGTCCCCTCCTAGGATTGCTTCCCCTTCGGAGAAGGAGAGGAATTTGTTTAGTGTCTTCTGGAAGAATTCTAATTGTTTCGTGTTTGGGGCATATATGGAGCCAATTGTCAGTTTGATTTTGCCATCTAGTGTCCCTTTAGCGAAAATGAATCTGCCTTTTTGTCCTTGAGGACTGTTGTGGCAGTGAAGTTCAGGTCTCTACTGAGTATTATGGCTACACCACGAGCTTTCCCTGAGCCTCGTGCGACCCACTGTTGACTGAAGCGGGGGTCGCTCAGGAGTTTGCTGCCTTTGGGTGGGTTGTGTATTTCTTGTAGGAAGGTGATGTGTGGTTTCATGGTGTTTATGTATGAGGTGATGCGTTTTCTTTTGATGGGGTTTCCCAGCCCCCTCACGTTTAATGTAATTGCTTTTAGGTTAGCCATCTTGCTTATCTATTATGTGGGGCAATTCCCTGCCAACCCATTCGGGTTGTCTTGTGTCTCTCTCTTCGTGTTGTTTAAAAAGTGGGGTTGCGCTGACCTAGGGTGTGGTGGGTGGGGGGCTAATGGGATTAGAGTAAGATTTGGGTTAAAGAGTAGGGGGTAAGTTGTAGAGAGTTTCCTATATGTAGTCATATAGGTGTTTGTTTGGGGTATTTTAGGCCATCTGGCATTTAGCCAGTTGGTCCTAGGTCTCAGCTGGTGTGGAAGGCCGTGTTCAAGGACAGGCCATCCCCCCTGTTGTTTGCGATAGGGGGTGATCAGTGAGACAGTGTGAAGTGACTTTGTAACGTCGCTGTCAGGTATAAGGTTCATAAGCAATGTTGCCAATGTTATGAGCAACATTGTTGGTGTGTTGGGGTGGGGATGTGGGTGCTGGTACGCTCTGGTGCCACCATAGTGCTGGTTGGGTATCAGATTTTAGCCTGATTGTGGGTTGTGTTATTAAGGTTGGGGGAGTTGTTTTTCCCTAGTATGGAGTATGG